TGGCAGCACGTCACAGATTGGAAGTTACTGTTCCAAAAAACAAGTAATTTCTTGGAAAGTGTTGTGTTTTATCTCCCCCTATAATACATTGCTACTATTTCCAGTTACACAATAAGTCTATATTACTCAATATACATACCACATTTCCTAAATAAGAAAAAGAGTAAATTCTCTCAGACCCAGATTGCATTGTCAACTAAAGAGGAACTATATTTTACCTTCCCTAGAAACCAAATGAAATAGAAAGTCATTAGCACAATATCATTAAATGTGCTTTTTCAGAGCTTTAGTCTAATTGTGGTTTAGAAACTGTTCGACAGTCTGATTATGTTTTAGTCACAGAAGCAACCACATGCTGAGTTGATGGGCTAGTGTTGACAATATATTTTTTCTGCTCCTCAGGTTGACCAGTGACTTCAGTTTGAATGAGTTTGAAGATGAAGACCTATCGGAACTTACTGAGATCACAGATCAATACCATGACCAGGTAGGAGAGATGCATTTTCAAAATGTTTGTAAAAATGTAACAAAAGTTCTTGGGAGCTGGTCTGTTTGGTCACATAAAAGGTCCAGTGAGTAGGATTTAGTGTAAGTCCTTTGTTTCACCCTGCCCTTCCAAGTGCAAAGGAGACACTACAGTGGCTATGACACAGGCCAAAAAACGATAACGGGCCCATCTAGAGCCAGTGTTTGTTCCTTCTGGGCTTTGACAGTTTAATTGACTGGTGTGCTAAATGGCTAGTGGACTGACTGACAGGATTTCTAGCTAATATAACTGGTTAGTGGACTGACTAGTTCTTTACTGTGTGACCTTTTGGATGACTAGTTTACTGGCTGGCAGACTGACTTATTGGGTTTGTTGACTGAATGACTGACACATTTGCTAGCTGCTGCCTAGCTGAATAATTGTTGATTAACTATTGGCTAGCTGGTGGACTGAAAGACTGACTGACTGGTTTGTTCAAAGGCTGATGGACCAACTAGCAAATTTCTGGGCAGTCTTTGCTGGCTGATTGGTTGATTGGCTGAATGACTGAATCATTTGTTAGCTTCTATCAGGTTGACAGACTAGTGTGCTTAATAGCAGGTAGACTGACTGACTGAATGGTTCTTGGTTTTTGTTTTTTTGGGTGATCGTTTGACTGCCTAGTTTGCTGACTGACTCACAGACTGAATTGCTGATCAACTGGTTAATTTGTTGGCTGACTGTTCTGAATTACTTTGACGTTGTGGGTTCACTGGTTGATAACTGGCTAATGGACAAATTGACTGACTGATTCTTGTTAGCTGGCCGGGGGACTGAAAGACCTGTTGGCTGGCTGAATGGCTAAATGACTGATTTGCTGGCTGGCTGAATGACTGACTGGTTTGTTGGTTCACTGGGTGAAAGCTTTGACTGACTGGTTGACTAAATGTCTGATAGACTGTATGACTGGAATGCTCGCCAGTAGCTAACTAGCTCGCAGACTAACTGACTGTTTCTTGGTTACTATATGATTGAGTGCTGGCTGGCTGGCTGACTGAATGACTGGTTAGTTGGCTGAATGGCTAAATTAAGGGTTTGTTGGCTTGTTCACTAACTGGTTTGCTGGCTGGTTTGTTGGCTGGCTAGTGGACTGAAAAAGTGATTGACTGACTGGCTGGTTGGCTGCTGAATGACTGGTTAGTCAGTGGTTCAGTGATTAAATGAATGATTTGCTGGCTGCTTTGTTGACCGCCTGAATGACTGTTCGATTTGTTTAATGACTGGTCTGTTGCCTTTGTCTCTGTGGGATGACTGTATAATCTTATTTGACTGGGTTACACGCACGCACGCACGCACGCACGCACACACACACACACACACACACACACACACATTGTTTATTAGCCTTAACTCAGAAAACGCCACAGGCAGATGAGCTGATGATGTCATGCCTTGCTCTGATTGGTTGGCTCTGACTTCCTCCTTCCCCTCTCTCTCACTCACTCCTCCCTGCATTCTTCTCTCTGTCGATCCTTGTTCGCCCGATCTCTATTCAACACCACCCACCTCTCTCTCTCTCTCTCTCTCTCTCTCTCTCCCTCCCTCCCTCCCTCCCTCCCTCCCTCTGTCTCTGTCTCTCTACCTCTCCTTTCCGTTCCACTCTGCTCCTGCCAGGAAGATGATGGTGGTGATGATGATGATGTGACACTGTGGCCGGCCAATAACAGCGTGAGGAGTGAGTGGAAGGGGTGTGTCCGGAGCCAGAGCTTGGAGCTGATTGATGCTGAGGAGACCGAGGAGGAAGAAGGGGCAGAGAGGGAGGCAGAGGAGGGTGGGGGAGGCCTTGTCCGAGCTGAGGAGCGCCTACTCTGGCTTAATCAAGGAGGAATAGAGGAGGAGGAGGAAGAGGAGGAGGGAGGGAGGTCGCTGTCACCTGTTAGAGGGGGATCAACCTGTGCTGTCATGGACAAATATCGACCAAAGAGACCAACCACCCTGGCTCTGTTTCCGCAGCTGCCACAAGCCGGCACCCAGGTAGGGAGGCTGGGAGGATCCCCTGTGTTTAAATTGGGCTGGGGGAATGTGTGTGAGTGTGTTGTATGATCATGATCATGGTTGGATGCTGTGTGTAGGATGAGGCAGCTGTGACACCAAGCCGAATAAATGCATTACTGTGTGTGTGTGTGTGTGTGTGTGTGTGTGTGTGTGTGTGTGTGTGTGTGTATTTCTTGGGAGGATCCTGTCTTCAGAATGAGACAGCATTGGCTAGCTGTGTATCTGTTTGTGTGTGCTGTTAGGTGTGTGTGTGTGTGTGTGTGTGTGTGTGTGTGTGTGTTGTGGCAGTGGGGCAAGTCTGAAGATGGTTCAGCTATAGCAGTATGCTGCTGTGCTTCAGTAAATGGGTTCCTGTTTTGTGTAGCAATATTCTTGGCAAATAGCTATATTTAGAATATCAATATTCATAAGTCAGTCACAGTACCACAGCAGAAAAGCAGCTCAGGGTTTGGTATCTTGCTCAAGGACACTTTGAGAGAACACGCTGGCTAGACTGTTAAAGCTGCAGTAGGTAATATTTATATATAATATTTTTGTCATACTTTAGGGCTGCAACCCTAGACCTTGACAGTAGTACATGAAACAGACAATCTGTGAAAAGATCAGGTTCCTCTGACTCGTTCTTTCACTCGTAATGGCATTTGCAACAATCCACCGGGCCTGAACGAAAACAACCAATCACAGCCGAGAAAGATAGTTGATGATTGAGTCTCAAATATACAGTTGTGTTCAAAATAATAGCAGTGTGTTTAAAAATGTGAGTAAAGCTCAAAATCCTTGTAATAGTTTTTATTCCCATGCGTTGGGAACACTGCACATTATACAAATTATACTGCACATATCAAAACATGAAACAAAATGTATCAATATTTTAATTAGAAGAAGAAGAAGAAGAAGATATACTTTATTGATCCCCTAGGAGAAATTGTTATTTTCCCTTTTTTTTTTATATACACACACAGGCTGAAATGCACACTTCATGCACTTGTGGACATGCAAAGGGGAGAGAGATGGTGGAGTGATGGGGCTGCCACGTTACCGGTGCCCCATGAGCAGGTTTTTGGGGTTTTAGGGCCTTGCTCAAGGGCACCTCAGCAGTGCACAGGAGGTGAAACTGGCACCTCTCTAGCTACCAGTCCACACTCCATATTGTGGTCTGTGGGGCTTGAGCCAGCGACCCTCCGGTTCCCAATCCAAGCCCCTACACACTGAGCTACTGCCGCCCCAAATTAATCATAATAAATAATGAATTTATTATAATTATAATAAAAATTGTAATTACTTAAATAAGGAGGATAAGGAATTTTTCATTACAAACTCAAATATTTACTGTATAAACTGAAAGAATCTTTAGGATTTAGCATTCCTGTGAATCACTAAACTAATATTTAGTTAAACCACTGTTTCTGAGAACTGATCTGTGTCGCATGGAGTCGACCAACTTCTGGCACCTGTGAAAAGATATTCCAGCCCAGGATGATTTGACAACATTCCACAATTCCTCTGCATTTCTTGGTTTTGCCTCAGAAACAGCATTTTTGATGTCACCCCACAAGTTTTCTATCGGATTAAGGTCCGGGGATTGGGCTGGCCACTCCATAACTTAAATTTTGTTGGTCTGGAACCAAGATGCTGCTCGCTTACTGGTGTGTTTGGGGTTGTTGTCTTGTTGAAACACCCATTTCAAGGGCATCTTCTCTTCAGCATAAGGCAACATGACGTCTTCAAGTATTTTGATATATGCAAACTGATCCATGATCCCTGGTATGCGATAAATAGGTCCGACACCATAGTAAGAGAAACATCCCCATATTATGATGCTTGCACCAGCATGCTTCACTGTCTTCAGAGTGTACTGTGACTTGAATTCAGTGTTTGGGGTCGTCACAAACTGTCTACTTTCCTCAGTCCACAAAATGTTTCTCCATTTCTCTTTAGGCCAGTCGATGTGTTCTTTGGCAAATTCTATCCTCTTCAGCACGTCTTTTTTTTAACGGTGGGACTTTGCGGGGGCTTCTTGCAGATAGATTAGCTTCACACAGGCGTCTTCTAATTGTCACAGTACTCACAGGTAACTTCAGACCGTCTTTGATCACCGTGGAGCTGATCATTGGCTGAGTCTTTGCCATTCTGTCTATTCTTCGATCCATTCGAATGGTAGTCTTCCATTTTCTTCCACGTTTCTCTGGTTTTGCTTTCCATTTTAAAGCATTGGAGATCATTTTAGCCGAGCAGCCTATCACTTTCTGCACTTCTTTATACATTTTCCCTTCTCCAATCAACGTTTTAATCAAAGCACGCTGTTCTTCTGAACAATGTCTGGAACAACCCATTTTTCTCAGGTTTTCAGAGAGAAATGCATGTTCAACATGTGCTGGCTTCATCCTTAAATAAGGGCCACCTGATTGACACCTGTTTTTTCACAGAATGAATGACCTCACTAATTGAACTCCACACTGGTATTATTTTAAACATGCCCCTTTCAATTATTTATTCAATTACACAGACTCAGGAGCATACATATCATGAATGTTGGGTCTGTTGGTTTTCAATTACTCTACACCTACTGGTAAATTATTCGCCAGTAGTGTCTACCAAAAACAGTGATTGATCTGGTTAGTCATGTTGGACTGCTATTATTTTGAACACAACTGTAGATGTTTTAGGACCCAAAGTGTCAGTATTTGACCGAAAGTATTGGTATTTGACAACCTGGGAATGAGACTCAACAATCAACTATCCTTCTTGGCTCTGATTGGTTGTTTTTGTTCAGGCCCGGTGGATTCTTGTAAATGCCATTAGGAGCACTAGGAGGAGCCAGAGGAACCTGATTGTTTCACAGATTATCTGTCACTTGTACTACTGTCAGAATGTAGTGAATGTTTTCAGCAAATATGACTAATAATGATATGAATATTTTAAAATAACCTACTGCAGCTTTAAAGCAAGAGAAATATAAGTATATTTAAGATGGTCAGCTGTAGCAGTATCTTCTAGTATAGAGGAGGATGATACCAAGTCAAATGAGGATATATATTTCTATAAAAACTAGCCTATAAGATGGTGAAGTAGATAGCCTTGGCTCCTCAGGCAGTGTTCGGTAATGAGTGCTCTCTGGAGGGAGCCGGCAGTAGCAGTAGTAGTTTCCTGACGTATACCTTTAAATGAGTTGCATCCTGTTTACTGTGTCAGTACAGATCAGAGCAGAGTCATTTAGCCCTAACCTGGGTTTCCCTTCAGCATCAACATCCAAAACACTCACCATAGATAGGCTGTCCCTTTGTGTTCCATTGAAACATCATTTGAAATAACTGTTGTTGTGAATGCTTGTGTCTATTAAGGCACAAATAATAATACAATAGGAATACAGTATAGCTTGGTCATATATTATTTAAAGCCCACCTGAAACAGAACATCTTAAAGATTCAGTGTCTAGGATTAAGTGGCATCTAGCAGTGTAGTTGCAGAACACAACTCCCTTGCTAGCGCCCATATCTAGTATTTGGGTTGTCTATTCTGGGCTACTTTGACCCGTTCCCTCTGTAGATATAAATCGTTCATTCCAAGGTAACAAAAACACACTGACTTCTATATTCAGGTAATTATACACTAATGAAAACATAACTATAAATTATATTCCATTTCTGCCAATAGAGACTCACAAAAAGCTTCATCCACCAAGCTGTCATGAGGCTGACTTTGACTTTGACTTTGAAAAGTTACATAATGGACCTTTGATCTAAAATGAATTAGAAACCTAATTAATGTTCACAATCTGTAGTTACAAACTGAAAATTAGGTGAACATAAGGGGAATAAAATATGAAATGTTAATTAACAAAACAGTGTCTGATACATTGAAATAACCTCTGTAGCACCCTGACTTCTCACAAGCTGCTTTAGAACACAGCACCATTTTAGCCATTACAGAAATAATGTTAAATATCCACATCTGATATAATCTGTCATGTTTGTCATTTTCACTAGCAAAAGCAACAGCCAGAAGGAAAGATTAAATGAGACTTGCTAGCTTCAGAGCCTAGCAAACACAGGGAACTCTTGACCCTTCTCTTCTCAGTCTTTCCTGCATTAGTAAACTGTCCATGTTGAAATCCCAGCTCAGTTTTGCATTCTCAAAATTTGAATTAATTTCACACACTGCAAAAAAACGAAAGGTAGCTAGACAGCAACATTTCTGTTAGCACCCAGGCTAACACTTTGTTGGCTTGTTTTGTTAATTATGGTGGTTTGACATTCATTTCCAACCCTGTGCCAGATGGTTTGTTACACAGAACTATGTTGGAAGTCATCATTGGAAGCTGTTTGGAAAAGGCTAGGCACTTTCAAAAAATACTTGGCAGGTGATGAATGGATGGATGAACTATCTATCTTTGACTGTCTATCAAGGATCAACTTCAACCAATCAGATCAATGAACCATATAATGTAGGCAGACTGAAGCCAGTCGTTTTCCATGGAGAAAAGCCTTCAGTGCCGCTCTGCTCTTCTTTCAAAGAACAAACACTCTCAGTTCTGATAGAACTGATGCTAGCAGCACCTATGCTAACCTCTTTTGTTGTTTTCAAACAGTCACTTTTCACACACACTGTCAAACACACCTAGCGTTAAACCACGTCTGTAGCTCATACTGGAGCTGATAGGTCCAAACCGCTGTGGTTGGACACAAGCACAGAGCTTGAAGCCTGACTAGATGGATTCTCATGTGATCTCATGATTTTGTGATTTAGCTGTCTGGCAGCGTTATGAGTCTGCTGCTGTGAACTTAAAATACCAGCTTTGACTAACGAATAGCTTGATTATGAGCCGCTGGGATAGCCACTGTTCCACTAAATTGTGTATGCAATTTTTAAACTATAAGAGCACCCACTATCAAAGTTCAAACCCTTGGTGATTGTAACAAAGAAATAGATCATTTGTTAGCATTCAAAAACCTACAGCTCCCCTCGAGCTTTACCAACAG